AACGAACACCCATGAAATAATACGGACCAATTATTTTGTGCGGGACACACCGACCGTCTTGCCGTGTCGTCCTGACGTGCAAGTGTGCTGACCACGGACGCGGAGACCGTAGGCGTGACGCACACCGCGATGCACGCGATGCTTCCGCAGACGCTCCAGATCCTCACGGAGACGTGTGTCAACCATGGCACTGGTGAGATGCTCCGTCTTGCCCGTCTTGGGGTCACGCTGGCGGTTGAGGAACCAGTCGGGGATCTTAAACTTGGACGGTTCGGCGATGACAGCGGAGACCTTCTCGAGCTCCTCGGCCGTCAGTGTGCCGGCGCGGCGCTCCACATCAATGCCTGCCTTCTTGCACACCATGTATGCAAAGCGAATGCCAATGCCCTTCACCATGCGGAGTGCAAAGGGCACCTTGCGCTTGCCCTCCACATTGGTGTTTAGGAGACGCACAATGTGCTGGAAGTTATCGGCCTGCAGGGTGAGGGACATCCTAACTGTTTGCCTAATAAGAGCGAAAATAAAATAAAAATGAAGAAGCTCCACAAAACCAGAAATGCTTCCAATGGCAAAACGCAAAGGCAGAAGCAAAAAAAGAAAAAACAGTTTTGATGGCAAAAAGATAAATTTACAGGGCTGAGCCAGCAAAAGCCATCCCTAGAGGCACGGTGTGAATATCAACACCAAAGGCAGGAGGACCCCAATTTGTACCTTTCAGCTCCACACACCCACACATGTTTTAAAACAAAACAAAAAAAAAGGGAAGAGAGTTCACCATGTTCCACCAAAGGGGCAAATGACACCAGAGAGAGAACAGATCCAATATTTCCACACCTTGACTGGAAAGTGTGGCGGCCCTGTTCAGCTTCTTACCATTAAGGATAAGAGTAAGGGGACGCTGATCCCCAGACCAGCTTGGAAGACGCGCCAGAACGGCATGCGGAGTGTCCTCCTCCAGCTTCAGCTCATCCACCGTTAGTTGAGCCCCCCTGTACGCTGACGATCACGCAATCCGTGAGCATCTTCAGAGCTCTTCCTTCGCTTCCGCACCAACAAAAACGAAGGTTAAGAGAGCGGCAAAAACAATGCACAACAACAACAAAAAAAAAAAAAGAGCACATCTTCTTCCAGGGCGAAAGGGGGAATTGCGCATGTGTGCCTCCTCCCCCTTTGTTTTGTTTTACACCACCCTCTTTTTTCTCTTCTTGTTTTCGATGCGGAGGTTTGTTACGCCCCAACAGTCAACCCGACGCAGCCCTCATAGACACGAAAAAGAATGAATTAAAAAGACCACATAGACGTGGGGAAAACAGCAACAACAACAAATATGGAGTCAAATAGCTCTCAGAAAAAGTCTACGGTAAACCGTTCATCGACAAGGGCGCCGCCAGAAACATCAAGCGTGACGGGCAACTATAAGAGAAACTACTGCGTTATTGGCCTCAATGGTGGAATGCACATGCTATGTACCAAAATTAACTTTTCCTCATTGAACAGCATTGCTGCTGCTACTGCTGGTAGCGGCAGCGACTTTGTTGATGACTTTACTGGTTCACTTTGCAGCCGAGGTACTTTCGAGTCATGAGACCCTGTTAAAGTGCGCGCCAGCGCCGCCACCATGTTTTCCCAGTTTATCGTTTCCACATAAACTCCCTGCTGCGTCATGTGATCTTCCACGCACTGACGTGTCTCCGCAACTCGCCCGTCACGGACCCACGTAGGATACTTCTCTTCAGCTCCTCCTGTCAATGGGATGTAGCTCAACCGCCTTTTTTTGCCCTTGGTGCTAACCTGATTTCCCACCATAGTAGCCGATTCGGCTACTATAGAACGACTCGTGAGTACTTCGCGATGCATCAGCAACGCCCTCACCGCCTCTAGTTGATACTGTTTTGCGCTTCGCACCACACGCAACCGTGGTCTATAGTGCAACTCCATCAACGCTGGCTTTGGTATGGCAGTTGAAAATAACATGTGTGGCGCTCCGTTCTCTCTTACATGACGTCCCAATGGAGGCGTGCCTGGTCGCCGCCCGGGCTGCCGTGATTCCGTCGCGGCAGTCTGATAAGGAAAGGGCATCAACAGAGGCAAAACGGCGTAGCGACCGCGATCGCACTCCGCTTCCTTCATGACCACACAACCACCTATTCCCCCCTTCATAGCAAAGGGCTGTGTCCTTAGTTGTGATTTTCCATAAAGGCGTTCTTCCAGATATTCCCTCGCGTTCTCCAAAGTAGTTTCAATCCGCCACATGATGACCATGTGGGTAAGCTCATTCAGCACGTGTTCCACAAGGGCCCGCACGTAACGATGCTCGGCGGTGGGAATGGCAGGGTATTGACTCAGACCACAGGCCACGTCGCTGGCCCAAAGAAACGTCTGAAGTTCCCCAAAAAGAGACTCCACTACGTCGGACTTCGTCTTATTGCTCGGTAGTCGAGTACCAATAATGGAGTCCAAGTCAAGGTAGTCATAAATCTGCAGCAACCCCTCGTTGCTGTCAAGCAGCTGCTGAATATAGGCGAGCTTGTAGGTCACACCACCCTCCGTCGATGGAAACAGACGCACAAGACGGTCTGGCACGACAACCTTCACTATGTTGTCTCCAATCATTTCGCTGCGTTCAAAGCGTTTGGTACGAACAAAAGAGGCTTCACCAGACGAGGTCCCCTTCAGCGACGTTAGGCAGTCACGGATCACTCCACGATCACGCAAGAACTCCAACAAGAAACGGACCCGCCATAGTCTCCTTCTGGCAGTTGGTGCGCTAAGAGAGGCAATACGTTTGTAGTCCAGAAGCGTCTCCTGCTCCACCTCGTTCAGCCGTTTCCACCAGTCTTCCAGAAGAGCACGCACCTTTTGCGCCATGCTCGACGCTGGCCCACATGTGGAATGCGTCGCAACGGCTGTCATCTCCTTTTGCAGCATAGCGGTAGCTCGCTCGAGAATGCCAACACGCGCAATGTGTCCCACGCAGCCACAGTGTACGGGAAAAGAAGCCTCCAAATATTCGTCACACAGCGTGCATCGCCGCTGCCCTGCATTGTAGAACCGCGACTTCATCCGATTCACCTCCCCCCTTGAGAGACCTTCATCTTGCTCGACGGGTGACGCACCCCATAAAAAAATGTCCGCGTGATTGCACTTGATTTGCTCTCGAGTTAGCGCTGCAGCTAACGCCCGTGTGACGACACATGCATGCATCCCAGTGAGTGTGCGACACAATACAGAAGGAAGGCAGGATGTGAAACTCACAAGCACCAGAATAAGTCTACAAACTTTTGTCTTTACTCAGCCGACGCGACCACAATCAGCTCAGCAATTTCCAACTGAAACATCATGCAAGAAAAAAAAAGCAATGCATAAAAAACGTGCAGTCAACACATAGATGCCTGCGCAAAAGAGAAATTTAACAAACGGTAGTAGGCAACAACAAAACAAGAAATAAAAGAAAATGCCAGATCAAATACGCGCTTGGATGACACCAGGACCTCTATTTCTACAGAGGGAGATAAAGACAAGGGGGGGGGGGGGGAAACTGTCTTCTTTTCGTTTTTTTTGTGGCTCTTTTTCTTGGCGGGTGAGACCCATCAGGGTGAAAGCCTCGCCTCCACTGTTTGATGCAAGAGAGCTCTGCAGAAAGTCGGCAAAGCAGAGACGCGACAAAAATGCATTTCCTTCTTCCATTCGACCCACATGCTCCAAACAGAGCTCTCACAGGGAAGCAACGCGAAACGCCACAGGCCGTGTGCAGTAGCCAAAATGCTGCACGTGCTCATCAGAGAGCAAAACATTGAACCACGCCAGCAAGTGCAACAACGTCCACGGCATCCGGCGAACATCACATTGCTCGTGCTCCACCTCAAACCCTGAGTCACTTTCTGGAATACGGTTGAACATAAAACCCTGCTCTTTCGAAGAGTGTTCTAGGTTAAAAACTTAAACGCAAGCAGCGGAAGCTAACGCTCCAGCTCTTGCAGCAGCGTCCAAACGTCAGTTTCTTTTTTTTTTTGTTTTTACGGCTGCAGCTGCAGAAGAAAAAGCAGAGGCAGTTCTTCGCCACGGCCATGCATAAGAGAACAAAAAATGGATGGGGCTAAAAAATCCTTATATTGTGTCACAAGTCAAGCCATCCTCAGCTGAGAAGCGCTCTTCCTCGCTCATCCGTCACTGGTACCAAAAAATGGCTAAGCTGGAGCCTTGTAATTTGTTCAAGCCCCACCCCAATCACTCTCTAGAGGATGAATGTACCATCTTGAAGCCGAATGTTCTTCACAATGCCGTCACGCATGTCAGGCACGATGAATGGCTTCAATTGTCCGTCAAATTAGTTTTGCAGGTTAAACAGCGGCACCAAATATTTAGAGACACGGAAGGATTGCTGCCCAAGGGATACCGCCACATACAGAGAAAAGAAGGGGGAAACGTCCCAATACCTTCAAATACCGGACACAAGAGGAGAGGCATGGGCGACATTTATGCCTCCCGTATTTCGCTCTGCGTCCAAGAGAGGGTATCCCAAGAGCAACGCATGAACAAATCCCCCAAAGAGGTCCAAAAAAAAAAAGGAATTGAAGCAAGTGAATGCCCTGACGACGCTCAAAGATGGCGTCACACAAAGGATGTAGGAGACAAAATTGGAAGGACCCCAGTGTACCCCCCAAATAGCTAAGAACCCGGACGGCTACTTGTGGGTCGCTAAACCATGAGCAAAGTGAATGCTGCACAGTGCCCATCGCTGGAAGGACGCTTTGGGAAGCAAAAAACGCACTGGCATGGGCATGTCCAAGGCGGTGGAGATTCGCTTATAAAACGTCAAACCGAAAACGCCAGCTGCGTTCAATAAAGAAAAAAAGACATCAAAATTTCGCTCAACGCATCTCACCGTTTGCGTGACGGTATCCCCAATTGGAATTGATGGTCATTTGCTTAAAAAAATTCCCGTGTACATTTGTAGCGGTAGATAATTGGTGCGTTTCAGGTTTACTGAGATTTCAACGACGCCAAGGGAAACAACCTAAATTCCATCGGGGGCATCAACAAACAGAAAGCGACAGCAGCTTTTATTCTCTCTCCAACATGCTCCAAAGTGACTCCTCCCGCTTCAGCCGCCCAAGCAGCAAAGAGTCTTGTACAGCCGCTGTACAGTAAAACCTTATTTTGTGCCCATGGAAGCATTCGCCATCCTGCAATAAAGCCAGCTGTAGCGTATGACCCCCACCAACGACAACTAGTGCAAGACCCCGAGGAGCTAAGTGATGCAGGGCACAAAATATCTTGTACTGTATTGCGCTCCCACAATCGTCTGCCCCATTGCCGCACAGCGCTAAAACTCAACTTGAAATTTTTATTATTATTGGGAAATGAACAGACAGCACTACTAACCAAACTGTCTCCGGTGGTACAAGTAGGACACACTCCTGCCACCGCTGCTACCGCAAGAGGTTCTGCGGAATATTATCCACGTCAGTCGCGGTGAGACGTAAACCAATCACATACTGATCCACCAAGTCATCATGACGAATAACGCTATTTTTTTCAACCCCAACGGGATGAATCAAACCATCCGAATTCCGCCGAGAAACCTCATGGACACCAATAGCAAGCCTTCCCTCCATGTGCGCATTAATAACGTCACACATGAAGCGGGTGCAATTGTCCTTTATCTCGGTTGCCGTATCAAGAATGTAACTCTTGTAATCCAGCATAGATCACCCTTTGTTGGGAAGTATTGGAATCTAGTTATGGTAGCGTTTCTCACTGTCGTCCTCCGCTCCTCCTCCCCCTCTTGAGTCTATCACCACCACACACCTCGTCAATATTGCACGATGCACTGACATTCGAGCCGTCATTGTGCACCGCCTCTCAAAAGGGAGACTCATAGGCCTCAAAATTTGAAATAGCTTTCTGCGTCTCCAAGTTATCACGAGTACGCACAAAAAGTTTGCGCTCCTCCAAGCGATGCTTCTCATCCCCTGTGCCAATCACATCAAAATGCACTCGCCTCATCGTATCGCGAAGAATAAGTTTGAGATACTTCCTTCATCCCCTCCACGTCGTTTTTGATGCACACCAACACTTCCATGCTACACAGTGGCTCCACTATTCTTGAGAACTTGGTGATTGCCTCGCTGCAAAGATGATCCAAATTTTCACCTCCGGGCTCAAGGTCCTCCCAACAAATCTTCGCCATCACCAGGACAGGGAGCATCTGTCAACCAACAAGAAATCTTCAGGCGCATCAGTGTGTGGAGGCGGTGACCACATGTCGATTACCAGGTGGTGAAGCATCCTGAATCTTCATGTCCACTGCGTCCTTCTCAATACCTAACTTTTTACCATTCACGACCTTTCTCCCCAAATAAAGCACAGCAACAGGGGTGCTCTGCTGGTGAAAAGGTGGTTCATAAGTGCCAGAACAATAAGACGGGTACGCGCAAGAAGCCCTGAACAGCGGTTTCTCACCCTTTGCGTTTTGGTAGACAACAAATACCCTTTCCAGCTTGTGGAGCCTGTGGAGATGCAACATCGGTAGAGGCATCACCATCGCACCGCTATGGATGACATCCCCCCATTTAGACAACATAAATGAATGGTCTCTTGTTTTTCATTCGCCTCTTCCACCCCCTTCGTTCCTACAATTCCTCCTCCTTCATTTTACTTCACTTTTCCCGCGTGTGCCTGCAAAATCGATAGGTAAAGCTGCCAAATGCACAGAAAAAAACAAAACAAAACAAGAAACAAAGAAAGAGAGTAACACGCAGTGTTGAGGACGGAGCCTGGCTCCAACAGTGGGTGAAGGCACGAGATGTCTGCACGCAAAAAAACAAAAACAAAAACAAAAGGAAAGTAGTACACGCCACCAAATTTACGCACACACAAAAAAGTAAACCAAAACGTAGAACAAACACACATATAACGGAACAACAAACACACAAACAAACAAAAAAAAAGTGTGAAGGGAACCATGATACTTCCGCTCCACGCCCTCTTCTCCTCAGAAACGCCTACGTATATTTGGCAGTCAAACCAACAACAAAACAAAACAACCAATAACCAAACCGCAAAGCTAATAGGAACGGGGATGCTTTATGTACCCCATGTCTCCTTGCGCGGAAGCATGATTGGTATGTTGTTGCCTCAAAATGGGACCGTAAATTCACGCCATTTCCCTTCTCTTCGGTTTTCTTCATGTCCACCCAGTTTTCTCGTAGAATCGCGGAGAGGATAAATAAGTAAGAAAGGACACACATATACAGTAAAAATACGTGTCTAGGTGAGGTCGTGTGCCTCCTATTTCTTCCAAACGAAAGGGCACAGCAACCTCAGAAGGATGATGAAGCTGCAGATGCATAAATAAAATGATTACGTTTTTTTTTTTTTTTTCTAAAAGACCACAACAATGTAAGTGAATTTCTGCTTCAGTGTGTGCCCAACATCCCCCACTACAGTGGGGGATTTTATCAAGAATTTCATACACACACACACACACCAACGCAAAAACAAATTTATAACACATATGCTACGATAAGCAGGCTCCCGTTGAAGACCCAAAAAGTAGCAGTCTTTGAGGCCCCGCATCCAGCAGACCCTTCCACGCGGAGCGTCTTAGCAGTGGTACGGGGTGATGTTGCGGGAAAACGGGGGGAAAACAAAAACAAAAAGAAAAAAAAACAAAGAGAAAAAAAAACAAAGAGAAAAAAAAACTGCACTAGCTACCTTCCAATGCGGCATCGTTAAAATAGTCAATAAAGAACAACAACACGCAATGCACAATAAAACAGGGCATCTCAAGAGTACCCGTTATTATCTTTCTTGGCCTCATCTGATTGCGAATTCCTTCCATACATCTCCGTTAAAGATAAATTTCACAAGATAATATGAAAAAGAAAAATCGCACAAATGTGTGAGCATACACATACATTTAAGAGGGAAAAGGTGCTGGTAGTGGGTTCATTGACTATTGGTGGTGAAGGTGCTAGATTACTCAAAGCAGTTACTTTTTGTCTTCTCGCGCCGCCATGGGGAAAAAGGAGAGAGAGATCAAAGGCAAGAAACGGAGGTTACACGACAAGCAGTCGACAACCGTCATACATCTTTCCTTTTCCCCTTCCTACTGCTCAACTCTAAAGTGTACCGTTTGCATCACCTAATCATGGATAGGTGCAAGATAAAACAAGGCAAAAGACAAAAAGGCAGAGTAAAGTACCAAGCTAAGCCACACTGTAGTGAGAACCCCAGGCGGAGGGCCTCCTTTTAGCATGAATCAACTCGCGTTCTCACTTCAATCACTCCCTTATTATTTTCTCTCCCCCCCTCCCCTCCTATCCACTGAATTTCCGCCTTGACTCAACCACCACAGGCAGATGTTTCAACCACCCTATTTACTTCCTTTTTGTTTCTGTCTGGCAAGTTGTCATTTTGAAGTAAGCAAATACTATCCCCGCTCCAATCCTCACCACTTCCC